GTAGATGCTTCCTTGAAAAAGATACTTTATGATACTCTGGTACTTTGCAGGAATTGAAACTTCAGTTATGAAGCTCCCCAGTCTTGCATCCAAATATCAATGAAATTCATAGAATTGTTTTGATTGAAAAAGGATATTTAAGGTCATTGAGTCCAACTGTAAACCCAGCACTGCCAAGTCCACCACTAAACCATGTCCTGAAGCACCACATCTAGAAGTCTTTTAAATGTCTCCAGGGATGGGGACAGCCTATTCCAGGACTTGGCAACCCTTTCTGTGAAGAAGCTTTTTCTAATGTTCAGTCTAAACCTTCCCTGGCAGAACCTGAGCCCATTTCTTCTTTTCCTATTGCTTGTTACTTGGGAGAAGATGCCAAAACTTGCCTCACTGCAGCCTCCTTTCATGTAGTTGTAGAGTGATAAGATCTCCTCTCAGCCTCCTCTTCTCTAGACTAAACAATCCCAGCTCCCTCAGTCGTTCCTTGTAAGACTTGTTCTGTAGACCCATCACCAGCTTTGTTGCTCTTTGGACGTGTTCCAGCACCTTGATGTCTTGTGGTGAGGGCCCCAACTGAACACAGTACTCGTGGTGTGGCCTCACCAGGGCTGAGGACAGGGTGTGAGCCCTTCCCTCATCCTGCTGGCCACACTACAAGCCAAGATGCTGTTGGCCTTCTTGGCCACCTGGGCACACTGGCTCACGTTCAGCTGGCTGTTGGCCAGCCCGCCAGGTCACTCTTCCCCAGGCCTGTGGCATTGTGTGGGGTGGGTGTGACCCAGGGGCAGCACCTGGCTCTTGCTCCGCTTGGAATCCATGGATCCAGCCAGTCCAGGTCCCCCTGCAGAGCCTCCCCAGCCTCTAGCACATCAACACCCCTGCCCTGCCTGTGGGCATCTTCAGAATTCGTGGGGGTGCCCTTGATCCCCTCATCCACATAACTGGTAAAGCTATAAAACAGAATTATGCCATCAAAATACTTAGTTATATTTGGTTATATTTTACTCTTAGTTATCCAAGTCACCTAGTTATCAAAGTTAACCTAGTTATCAAAACCCAACTAACAGCAGCGTGGCAGCTTTTGATGAGAACAACATTAATTAAAATTGCTTAATTTAATTTCATGTAGCCTTTTGAAAACCAGCTTTGCACTTTTTTGCTGTCTTTCTAATGTAGCCATACCTCAAAGTGGAATTCCTTTTTGTATTCTGGGACTTTAAAGATCCTGAATTCTCTCTGCTTGTCCCTTTCTGTGGACTTCCTTGGAAGGAGAAGAGCAGGATAGCAGGAATTGTGGTTTTCATTATTTTTTCAGTGGAAGCTTCTCAGTTTTTGAAGTTGGTTTGGGTTTTTTTTGGTAGCTCAGCAACCATATACTTGCTTTCTACCAGCTTCCTGTCTTTCTGCCTGTGTCCAAGAGAAGTATGTTTTGGGGGTTTTGTGCATGTTTTGCTTGTTTTTGTGTGTTGTTTTATTTTATTTTCCCAGATGGGGGAAATTTCTTTTGTCAACAGTAGCTAATTTCCTACAAGGTAATTGAAAACTCTTAAAACTACTGAAATTACCATTAACTGGTAATGCTGATGTTTTCCAAGAGGTTCATTCCTTTGGCTGTTACACAGTACAGCAGAAAGTACACAACACCTTTTGCTCCATTTGTAATTTCACATTAGCAAGAAGACACTTATAAAACTCAGTGTAAAATTCTTAAAAGATCTCTCCTTGTGAGTCTTTACATACAAAGCATACTGTAACAAGATGTGTCTCTGGGGTATAAATTAGACATCTAGATAACATAACTCAGATTGAGCTGGGTTAATAATAAAAAGTTTGAATTACAGCAGTTCTAGATATTAACTTAAATTCTAGATTTTAGATTAGAACTGTAATTTAATGTTTTTTCATAGTATTAGAGGGGTGTAGGGTGTACAAATTTCCTTGTCTGATACATGTATTCTATATTTTTAAATATTTTAAAAATAGAAAAAATACTATTTTCTACAATTCAGAAGCTGCTTATGGGTCTATTTTTGGAGGTGGGGCATTAAGGAATTCCCAGTCCCTTATGGATTTAGGGTTTCTTACTGATAGCCAAGATAGTTGCCAAGTCTCATGTTTGTAACCCTGGAAGCCCATATCCAGACTCCTGTGTGGTTGTGGGACCGTGTGGGGCTCCAGGGAGCAGCTGTAGCCAGGAGCAGGCTGGCTGAGGGAACAGTTGTGAAATTTCTGCTCCCTTTGCCTCTGGTTGTTGCCCTTTGGACAAACCAGCACCAGGAGCAGGCTGGTGAGGCAGTTTGGAGTAGCTCTGAGCGAATCTGGAGTTCCAAACCCTGAGCCTGGATTTAAACTGCTCATTCAGTACCCCTTACGCCTTCCAAAAAGCCTGCACACAATAGCTGCCTTGTTGAGGAAGGAAGGTCAGCTGCATGCAGGCCCTGTCTACTGAAAGGAGGCACTAAAGAGGCTGACCCCTTTTGATCTTGCAGTACTGGTGCCTTCAGGGGCCTTCTGCAAACAAAGCATCCCCTGCTTACATTTGAAATTGAATCCACAGGCTGAAAAGTGAACGACTCTGTTTTACCTTGAGTTCTCCAGTTCTAACTCATGGATACCTAAATATAGTTCTGTATATTGTGTTCTATTCATTACCTGAATTCAAGAGGAACTGTGGCAGGACCAAACTACTAAATACATAATTAGTAATTTTAAGGGCTTGATCTACAAAGGCATAAATGCAGACACAAAAGTTAGGTCAATTCCCTGGGAATTCTCATTTGAAGACACCACTGAGAGCCAACAAATGGCCTAGTAATGAGTATTTGTCTAAAATGTTAATGGTGGGTGTGACATACTGAAAGGTAGTTTTGTAAGGGAATGTGAACAGTCTTGTGGAAGTGTATTGAATGGTTTACAAAAAAACCTCCACACTTGTGAAACTGCTCTTCTGTCTGTAGTGACTCTTACTCCTGTCCTCTCAGGTGGGTGGCTGAGCTGAGAGCTGCAGTAGATACACTTTGAACCAGAACCACCTCTAGGTCATTTCCCTCCATGAACATTGCTAAATACTCACTGTGCATTACTGCTGAGGTTATAAGCAAAAAATACATTAGCTCTCTCTAAAAAAAAAAAAAAAGCCCCACCAAACGTTTCTGATTTTAACTGCTTCATGGGGGACACTACCTTTTCCAGAACCAAGGCTCCTGTTCCACTAGGCATGTTACATCAGCTTTCTGTTGATCAGTGGTATTTTTAAATGTAGAGCAAGTTATTTCCAAGTGTCTTTTGTATATTACAAGACCTTGCAAAAGTGTGCTATTAGTATTGGGAGATGGGCTGCCAAGGACTTTGATCAGTTATTTGTAAATGTTTTATGAACTTGAATGTGAAGGTTTTAACTAACTGTAGGTTATAGTGGGAGCACTGTTTAGGAGTGTTTATGAGTTGTTTGGACTGCCCATGTTAAGTTTCATCATGATCTAGTGTTTGACAGAAGTAGTAAGGAATTGAGTGATCTTTGGCTTTTTGTTGTGCTGTTTTCAGAGCTCCCTTTCAGTTCTGTTACTCTAGTAGGCATACAGGAGTAAACAGACAGTTCATTTTTATTGATAGCTTGAAGGCAAATTCTGTAGCTGACAACAGGTAGGGGGCTGCCTGCCAGTCAGAGGGCTGAATTTCTAGACCCAGTTGTACAGTGGTGCTGTTGGCTGCTGTGATAATAAAAAAATTTTTAAAAAGATGATTTTATCTTAATGATTTTATAACTGTCACTACTCAAACTATTAAATGTAAAGGCTGGCTGACAACATGGGTACTTGATTGGACTTTGGAGTAACCTGAAAGCCAGGCAGTAAACTGTCACATAAATAAGTGGTTACAAAGTACACCTTTTAGATTTCACTTGGTAATGCTTCCTGTCAAGGTTTTTGGGTATGCTGGTCTCTTTTGACCAGATTTCATTTGTCATGTATCACTACCACCCCTTACCCCCCAAAAAACCAACTTACTCAGTGTGAAGAAATATCAGGTTTTGTGCCTGTAGCTTAACTGTTGGAGCCATGGAGATTTTAAGTGACTGTACATGATACAGCACTATAGGTGTTGCATGTGTCCTTAACTATATAAGTTGAATAGAATGATTTCTCAAATAATTATTGTTGGAAGATGGGATTGATTTGATTGATTTGCATATTTATAAAACTGCAGTGTGATTACTGTATCAGTGTGCCTGAGAACTGACCTAAGTATGTAGCTTAATCATTACTATGTCTTTGGTATTGAATTCTTGCTACAGATATTCATATGTACTTTTAAAATCTGCATGCAGATTAAGGCCATAAACAAAGCTACTTGACACTTCACAACTTTATTCTGTGGTGATAATACACATATTTAGAAGCTAAACATGTGGTACCTGTAGCTCCCTACGTGGAGCTGGGACATGTCACCTCTTTGAGATGGAGAGGGCAGTACACTAAATTAGTTTCCTTTACCACATTAATAATAACTGCACTGGACCTCTGTGGTCAACCCCTGAGCAGTAAGTCAGGTGGAGGCTGCTGCAAGCCCAGTTTGGGGGAGAGCAGAGGCAGCTAGCGCCTGCCCTACTGCTGGCATCAGAGCAGTTCCTTCAGGTGGTTGTTCCAGTGCTCCTCAGAACTCAGAGGAAGCCCCTGTAGCCAGGGTGAGCTGTTCACAGGATGGCAGCCCACTCCCCAGAGCTGCTGCCCTGCAGGCCCCTCTGCCCAAGCCCAGCAATCCTGGCAGCCCTGCTCCTCTGAGGTGCCCAGGAACTCCAGGAGCTGCCCTTCCATCCGGGTGTTTTCCCAGCACACCCTCCCCAGAAAAGGGAACACTGGCGAGGCTGTTGGCTCAGCAGTTCCTCCCCCACAGTCTGCTCAGGGGGACAGTGTCACCTCTGCTGGCAGGCCCCTGGCCAGGTGGGGTGGGAGGGGCTGTGCCCGGGGGGTGACCCTCACCTCTGCACCCACCTCTCTCTGCAGGGTGTCGACGACGCCTTCTACACGTTAGTCCGAGAAATCAGGAAACACAAAGAGAAGATGAGCAAAGATGGGAAAAAGAAGAAAAAGAAGACAAAGACAAAGTGTATAATTATGTAAATACAGTTTATCCTTATTCTTAAGAAGTACTTAAGTAATTTTTGTACATTACACTAAATTATTAGCATTTGTTTTAGCATTACTTTACTTTCTGCTTCATGATCCTGTTAGCTTTACCTGAATGCTTGTTTTAAATGACAGTGGAAACTTCATTCCTCTTAAAGTGCCAGTATTCTTTGACTGTTTGGTTCTTGAACTAGCAATGCCTGTGAAGAAAACAAACAAACAAAAACCTGAGAACTGTCTTAGGACTCTTTGGTGCATGCACAGTTGCTAACTTCCTATTTTTCTTACTGATTGTGAACTTCTCTTCTGTGTGCAAACCAAACAATGAAATGATGCTCTACACATTCTAACATCCCCTTTCATTTTTTTTTTTTGGGGTTTTAAATCTGGTTGGGAAAAAGGACTAGTTAGCAAAAGAGACTTTCATTTCAGCCTTTCTTTTATTTCAGACTGACTGCAATATAGAGAGACCAGAAGCCTTTATAGTCTTCCTGTAGATTTTGCTTCTAGGCATCTAGTCTTGTAGCATTTCAGATCAACTTTAATGAATGTAAAGATAAAACTTTCACACACACTCACACACACACACACACACACAAAAATCACTGCAATTTGTCACAGTCACTCCTTAAATACTCTACTTTTTCTAAAAAAAAAAAAAAAAAAAGAAAAATTAAAAAAAAAAAGACAACAATGCACATCTGGCAATGGAAAAAGTAAAAGTTCTAATTAGGTTGATTTGCTCTTGTTAATGTGTTGCTTTAAGACTTTCACTAACTTTTTGTGTCTGAAGACCAAGGTGAAATCCTCACTCTCCTGATCCCCAGTGGCAAATCTGTAAGTAGCTTTGAGTCAGGTACAGGATTTCACCCTTAGTGTCTCTGGGAAATACTTGAAAGCCTTAACAGATCATTGGAGTTCTTAGGTTAATTCGTACACAGATCCAGAATTTACCACAAGAAATCAGAATGAATCCTAAATTATATAGTGAAGTTAAAACCATTCTTTTTTTTTTCCCCCCAAGAGCAATGTTAAATATTTCCACATGCCCATTTTGTGCAAAATAGGGGAGGAATTTTAAATTCCAGTAACATCAGATGAGTGAGTGAATGAGTTGAATTTAGCTGCTTCATGCAAATAACTTGGAAATCCACTATGCCAAAAAAAAAAATCAGTGTGGGATTTGCACAAAGCATGAGCATAGAAGGTGGTTTCCAGAGTCAGTGTTGTCCGTGTGATGTTTGTTTCTAATGGGAATTAATGCAGAGTTTTTGCAGCAGCTTTCATCTTTGGTACTGCAGGAGGGTGGTTGTTCTGCACCCAAGTGAGAGCCAGTAATTCCAGTGTTGCCAGTTCTGTTGTCTAACTGTAAATGTTGCACTGTTTGTTTTGTTAGGGTTTGGGTTTCTGAAGGTACACTCCTTTACAGGACCTAACTACAAAGTAAAATTTGAAAATTCTGGTGTACCCAAAAAAGAAATAAAACACAAGACCTGTCCCCCCACAACCCAGACTCCCTCCTCTCCTCTCAGCTTCCATGTTGAATATACTTTAGATCATGAATATTCTGAGAAACAGCAATAGGAGAATTTAACACTGTATCCTAAGGACCAGTATGGAATGAGAACAGGTTCTTCAAGTCACAAAGCATCTTACAGCTTCCAAGGTGGAAATGTTTTGGAGACAGTTATTTGCACATTTTAGACACTCTTGATTATCTATGAAGAAGGTAGCAGAAGGGGGTAGTAGAACTGGAGCAGATGGAAGGGATCTTAAGGTTACTTTCACATTTTTGGTAACTGAGTCACACTGCATGTAAAATTAGGGCTGGTCTAAAAGTTTGACATTCATGTAACTAAAAACTGTTAGGAGAAATTCTAGTTGAAATGTCTTAATCATTAAATCTGGATTTGTATAGCTCTAATATAAAGCTATATATAAAATAGCTGGGTTTTTTTTGGTAAATATGATCTATAGCTACCAATCCAATGAAAACAGTACAAAAGGTATCTAGCCCTTGTTTACTTTTTTTTTTTACAAAACAACCACCCCATCCTTGCCACTGTTGTGCAGTTTTGTCTTACTATTTGTTGAGATTTGGTGAAGCATGTTGGATTGCAGCTTGCACAAGTTGATCTCTTCTATTTTAACTGCTTTCAGAGACATCCCTGGGTGCTGTCTGTTCTGGCAGCAGCTCCTGAATGAACATGTGAATCACCTACCACGTTACCACATGAAATTGCCATGTGTCAGGGAGTAGCACCTTCTTACAGTAGCTTTATGTAACTCTGGTGAATAACTTTATTCTTGGTTCTCTCAAAACTGAAATTGAATCATTTTGATGTTCATCGCCCTAAAATTTTTGGTAACTTAAAAAATTCACTGTATAGATTTTGTTACAGGAACAGGATCTCAGTAATGGGTAAAATACTGACACACAATCTTCTGCTCTTGTCTGTACTATGAAGCAATACAATTATTACCTTCAAAGACCATCAAACTGTAAACAAATCATTTTGTCTCAAGTTTACATAAAGCTACATAGATGGTAAATCTTTCCTAACATTTCTTTATTCCACTGTCTTGTGTTTTCATGTTGAAAATACTTCTGCTTTTTCCTCTTGAGTGCCAACTTCTTACTAGGATGACTTAATGTAATATGTTTACCTGGAATGTATTTTAACTATTTTTGTATAGTGTAAACTGAAACATGCACATTTTGTACATTGTGCTTTATTTGATGTGGAACATATGCAGCGTGATCCAGTTTTTCCATGATTTGGTTGTGTGACCTGGGAATGTTGGTCATACCAGACATTAAGTTAAAAAACAAAAAGACAAAAAAAAAAAAAAGACCACTGTTTGTTTTAAAATTTGTAATGTTTGTAGGAGTATGTGCTGTGAGGTGATCTGGAATTTGTCATTTTTTTGTCAAACCGTACTGCTCCTATTTATTGTAATGTAATAAAAAATAGTTATTGTGAACTCCTGGCCTGGTTTTGCTCTGCAAGAATTTCCGTGCCCGCTCTCTGAACGGAGTATCCCCTGAGCCTCACGTCTTCTGGCAGCTGCTCTCAGTTATTTCTTGCTCCTGCCTGTCACCAGGCTCTTGTCCTTGCTGCTGTCATTCCCTTCCCCTGACAAAACGCTTTCTCCTGGCGAGCAGAGCCTGGCCCACGGGAGGCTGAGCTGCCCCTTCCCTGCTGCTGGGGCTGCTGGAACAGGGGCCTATTGGCATCCTTACCCCTACCAGCCCTGGCTCTGCCTCACCCTCAGCAGGGGCAGCAGGACGAGCCTTTGGCTTATCTGGCCAAGACACAGCACAGACACTGGAAGTTTCACGACCTGGCAATGTGGAAGTTTTATGACTCAGCCCAGTTCCCTGACTGCTGGGATGAGGTGGAAGTTTTATAGCCAGAGGTTGTATCAACAAAGCTGGAGATCAGGCCTAATGGCCAGAGGTTCTACCAACAAAACTGGAGGAGGAGACTCCACGAGTAGCAAGTGCTAGCTTTCTTCACCCCTGCCCCTTAATAGCACCATTAGCCTGCTAGGAGCCCATCAATACACAAGTTATGACCCAGTCCCACCTCATCAACATGAATAAAATTAGTCTTTAGAATCCTCTATTTCTGAGGAAGAGAATTCCAAGCACCTGGGTAGGTCAATGGGCCTAGAGCCCTCCCCTCCCCAAGCAGGGATACCTTGTTGGCAAGACTCATGCCCCTGACTGTCAGATGGCACCTGGGAATTGCTAACTGGAGCTCAGTTTTATATGAACAGCAACTTTAGACTTGTTAGATCTGTTGCCTGAGTACATCAGCTGTCTTTGCACGTGTCTCACTGGAAGCCCTTGGCAGGACGACAGAGCAGGCAAGTGTTGGCTCTGGTGACTGCACACATATCATCCTGTCACAAAAGAGCCTGGGACCAGGTGTGGATTTGGCCACACCTAGCTAGGTCTGTTCTCATCAACAGACCCGAATTCCCCTGCAGGTTTAAAATCCTCTGGACACCTGTCCTGCACTCTCCCCCAGGTGCACATCTGCCTTCTGCTTGCTTCTCTCCAACACCTTCCACGCAACACAGACCTCAGGCTCTCCACGTGACTGCTTAGATGGAAGCCAAGTCCTCCTCTGGTCCTTGGGTGGGTTGGAAGGATTTACGTTTCATTTCTTTGGAGGTTACAGGCCTTTTATTGTTTATTGTTAAGGATTTGGATCATTTCAGGCAGAGTCTCTGGCAGGGTCAGTGGCTGTCGTCACTGTAGTAGCGCTGTTTCATTGCTCTGTATTTCCTGAGGAAGTACAAAGCCTCCAACTCCTTTATGACAAACTCTCCTCGTGCAATTAGTTGCTTAATTTTTTCAGGATCTTTCACATCTTTGTTTTTCAGAAAAGCTGCTTTCAAACGGCTTCTAAAGTAATCTGCTCCTTTGGGATACTCCCTCCCAAGGTACAGCAGCTTGAAGGGGGAAAACAAAAATTAAATCAAGTGCCCCAGTGAAAGAGTTTTGACTGGTTAAGGAAAGGGCTGGTGGCGTTTAAGACACTTACATTTTTGTACAGATTTAACACTTCCCTTCGTAAAGAATTGGCCATTTTCACATTTCAGCGAACTCTTTACACTCCTGTTTTTTTCACCTGAAGAACAATCGGTGTGAGGTTAGCCCACAGCACAGCAGTCAGCAGATCCCCGCCTCAGCCAGGCCCCTGTCTCCGTGGCCTCCGTCTGCTCCAGCTGCGCTTTGGTTTTCCTCCTTTTTTTTTACCACTGCCGTCAGTTAGTAGCGAAGCAAACCGGGGCTGAGCTCCGTAAACGGTGGCACCCGCA